ACCTCCTTTTCGTATATGGTTTTTAATAGTCACTCTCCCTTTTCCATGGAATATATTGACTATTCTCTTTGCCTGTGATTTTTAAGCAAAGATTACTCACATGCACTAGAAGAGAACATTTCCACGAGTTTGGGTGGGCATGAACCGCTACATATAGGGTGTGGCCCCATATGACAAAGAAAGCTCATGGGCCTACCTTGGGCCCATAAGTTGTGCCGAATGACAGCCTAGGGTCCACAAGGTAGGCCCAAATAGAGAAAAATGTTTAAAATGCTAACTTGTTTTTTGGGGAACGAAATGACAAAGGAATCTTCTCTTGTTGAATCACCATCATTGTATTGAGATATACAGTTATGAAAAGCTATCCGATGATGGTGAAATTAGGCATCGTCCATGCAATTTGTTCAACTTCTAGAAGAAGTTGCGTATCGATGAAATCTACGAGCTGACCAAGTTGTTACCAATGAGGAAAGAGGATTTATATTGACTTCAAGTTTGGTGTGCGAAACAAAGCCTAGAATTTGGGGGGTTTCTCTACCAATATGGATGAAAATGACTGTGGAAATGTTCCAGCTTCTCACTACCATGAGATATCCTTATCCATGACCATCCCTGATCACTCGCATCCAAATTTAAGACCCGTACCAATTCATATCCTGATCCCCACCACCGCTTGTGTGGTTCCCCTGGTCCTTTTCTGCCACCCTGGCATCTTCCTCTTTGCCCCCGTTCCCCGGTGCGGGGGTACCTCGTCCGCCCCACAATCGGTCCACGGCCGCCTGCTGGCCCCGGCGCTGTGTGGCACGCTTTTGAGACGGTAAGTCAGAAACCTTGTTTTTCTGCTTGATAGAAAAGACTCAATATATGTTCTTAAACTGAGAAAATAAACACAAGATGCAAATGATCAACTTTTCACCACAGATGCAAACCAAAAAGGAAAAGTAGTAGTAGTAGTAGTAATAAAATAATAATAATAACAATAATAAGTGAATTTCAACGTGTGAAAAAGTATATTACGCTCTCTTCTTGTGGAATTTGAGAAACTACATGCAAACTTAGAAATTTCCTCCAAAGACGCATGGGTTTCGCTGTACCCTCACATCGATAACCCTACTCACTAGAAGAAAATATAAGGAAGACGATCTTCTGGAGAATTAGGTGTCGCTCACATTATTCAAGTAACTGCAAAATACAGATTACAGTCAATAGAGATTTTCAGAGCGATGCAATATTTACAAGAAACGATTATTTGTTTAAATACAGTGTACATAAAATTTTATTCCTCACATGCAATACTTTCCTTTTTCTTTGTTTGTTATATTGTAACGTCTGCTCACCTATATGGTATTACAATAGCTGTTACGGGAAAACCACAAAAGTTCATACATATTTTTGCCGAACTTATAAAACTTGCAGCATGCAGATCTATGTGTCGCCAACTATCCCTTTTCCCTTCATCATGCTATTCTGGTAGTTATCTCAAAATTTCTACTCCTTTTCTCGATATTCATAACTAGCAAAAAAAAAACCCCGCGTAACGCGGGGAAAATGAAGAATGTATACTCCTATCTTCAAATGATGTAAAAGTATGTTTAACGATATGGAAATAAGACAACCAAAATACAACGATAATAGATGTAATACACATTGAAGTTAGGAAGCACAAGGATTGTGATCCATAAGAAACAAACATACATACATGAACGCAGCTAGCTATCAAAATACATTGTGCATCTTAAGCTATTAATATTTACATAGCAAAAGGGGAATAGGCTGAACGTGGATGCCGTCTACTGGGTTCCTTCAGCAAATTCGGAGTCAGAAACAACATTATGTTTGATTTCATCGTTATCAGTAGAATCAGCTTCTTTGTCAGAGGATTTGTATGAGGTAGTACTTTCTTCAAGTGCTTGACCTGTATTGCGCATTGGATTAAATGCTCTAGGCGACCAATCCAATGAACTGACAGTGTATTGCCCTTTCAAACTATACTTGTGATTTGTGTAATCATGGCGGAAGGCAAACTTGAATTCCTTTCCATGAGCTTTGGTTATGAGATTGTGTATTTTGCAGAGTCCGTTATCCTAAAATCATATTGAAGCGATCTGTTAGTTCTTTCCATTCACACGTTTTATATCTTAGTATTTTTTTTTTGTTTGATTCCCGTTAAAAAGTAGGTAGTTGAAAGTATAGTGTAGAAATATACCTCTAATTTCAGGTTCTCAAGCTCTGGAGCAGAGATGTGAATAATTTTCTCTGCATCATGATTAAAAATTACAAGGTTTAACCTGTCGGTATCATCCTTGATATCAATTGTGATCTTGTACCTGAGATGTAAATGAATACAACTATTATGTTAGTTACAAAGAATTTAAATTGAACCATTTACTAATATAACATTTGTGGCATGAAGTTGTCTAAATGCAAAGAAAAAAACCTTGATGTTGTATTCCCTTGACGATTGGCACAACTTGGGTTTGGGCAGCCATATTGGTCACTAACTTCGTACTTCATCCTTTTTGGGCACATTGCACATGCACGGTAGGTCATCGATAATTCAGTGTAAATACGCGAGATAGTTGCGCGGATTGTGTAGTACAAATCCTGGTAGATTTATTTGGAGAGATGATGTTAATGATAAGAGCAAGCAATGATTAATAAAGATGTGTGAAGTTATACATGAAAAATCATTTTAGAGAAGTTTTGATTGAGGCATCTTCTAAATAGTGCAAATTTGTGTTTAAATGTAGGTCATAGAGAAGTGAAGAATGTATGTAGATATTTGTTGAGTAGCTATTAGATTTGTAGTATAGAGTAATTATTTAGAGGTGAGATATCAATGTAGAGGATTTGAACCTAATTTAGGATATATTATTATACAGTTGAAATGTGGGCTTTAGAGAAAGTTATCTTGTCTACGATATCCCTTTTAATTCCTTTTACTATCCTAATAGATATAGTAAATGAATATATACATTAAAGAACATATAATCCACACAATTCAGTGCAGCACAAGCCATACTATTTGAACTAAGATTCATTTATAATGAGAGCAAAATATTGACATGTAATGTGATAAAAAGAATAGATGATAAAGGTTATGTACCTTGCCAGGGATAGGAGGAGAGCTAGTAAGAGCTCGGAGTTGGCTAATTGTGTAGATTACTTCTGGAGTTTTACAATAAAGTTCACTGAATCTTGATATTTCACCGTAAGTAGCTTGAATTTGGTTTGTTTTGTCTGTCACTCTTTTTTTTTAATCAAAGAGATGATTGAGACAGTGAAAAAAGTAAAAAGAGTTTATAAATTATTATTGTTGAATTTAAATGTTTGAGATGGCAAATAACTTACTCTTTGAGAAGAAGTCGAGACTCCGGCATGTTCTCTGGTTCAATTTTGAATCTTGTGAACATACATGTCTGTAGCCCATATCGTCCTATTTTGTTTTTTGCTTGAAAAAAATTAAAATTATCTAAAGAATGTGGTATTGACATGAAGACTATGAAGATATGTAGAGAGCATACCGCGAAAGTTGTTTCCTTTAAGGTCGCTTGCAAGAAGGACAAATTGTTTCTTAAATGGTAGAGTAAAGATTTTAGTTCTTTCATATTCTTCCTTCCAAATAGTAAGCACACAAACTTTTGGAAATATAGTCTCATCTGTCATGAAGACCTCAGCAAAATGAATAAGTTTCTTCTTTGTATGTCTTGTAGTTGGAGGGCGGACATCAATGACAAGTGTCAAAACATCTGTAGAAAGAAGGTAGCATTACCAAGTTTCCAAGGGTTTTTCGATGCATTTTTAAATGTCATTCACTAGTATGAAAGGCCATACCTTTCTTGTAATAAAAAAACTAAACAGCACATGATGTATTAGAAAATCGATCAAATTAGTATGAAATATAATTGCGTAATGTCGAGAAGATATGCAAATTGTACTACATTAAGGAAATTAAGAGAACATGAGATAGTTACCTTTCAAAATTTCAGTCTTTATAGCTTCTGTAGGCTGATGTATATCGTCGTCCTTTTCAATTTGTTGAATGATATCAAGCTTTTGGAAATTATATAACGGTTCCAGTGGAATATCTGTGTCCGATAGTGGCATAGAGGTTGTCCTCTCAGTAAAAGTTTGATGCTTGTGATCAATAAGTTTGACGTAGTTGTTGCAATCAATGATGGAAACCCTTGAAATAGCATATGATGAACCCTCATTAATAATAGATTTCCAGTGCTCAGCTAGCCCAATTGGTACAAATCCTTGTCTGCAACTTCCCTGTTGTATGAAAAAATATATTGTCAAGAATCATGAAAAATAAACAGATAACACCAAAATTTTATAAATATAGTTGTACAAGCTATGTGTAAATATATCAACTTTCCTATGATGTGTATATTGATTTCGAAAATGTAATTTAAGCATGCTATGGGTCAGGAATGACCTTTTCATCTTTAGCACTGAAGACCATGGATTGCATACTTCCAGCACCATGAAGCTGGCCACACCAAAGCTTCAATATACGCAGATTGACATTATACTCTTCAACAGTGCTATCCATGCCATCAAAAATACTATTGCATATAATCTCTTTGTCTTTAGCAAGTGATTGTCTTTCTTTTTCATGCAATGACTTGTTGTTTTGCTTTCCTGCTATTGGCTCATATTCTAACCTCTTTTTAGCGTTACGCTTGGAAATCTTTTCTGGTTCTTGCTCTACCTTTCTCTTGTTTGCTCTTTCCTTATGCTTTGTCACTTGTTCAGTTGTTAGGGTAAAATGGTCAACAGTTGATGCAACTTTCTTATTTTTTATTCTTAAGCTTCCTGCTGCTATAATCATGTAAATAGTAAGGTAAATGTACTGTTATGTAATAGTTTGAAAAGCAATCAATATGAAAATAAGTATATAAAGTACCGGTGTTAGTTTCGAGTGGTGTCATAGGCTTTGGGATCTGTTTTATAGTTGATGTGAAATCAGGATTGATCACAACCTTTCGTGATGTTCTTTGCTTCAATTTTTTTTCCTGCTTGGTAGTAATTGAGCCAAAGAAATAGAATCATCAGGATCCACTTCGCTTAATTGTTTAAATTTGGCTTTTTGTGTTCGGGAGCTTCCAATGACTTCATTTGTGTCCTTACATGTAAGATTGTGCTCTTTAGATGAAGACATAACCTATATAATGATGTTACAAATTAGTAGAGAGAAGTTAAAGCGAATATAGAAACCTGTTTTCATTCTTGCACTCTGCAGATGTGGTGTCAACAAAATTTTCATTTTGAAGTTGCTTTATTAGTACAAAGCTATTGACTTAGTGGACTAATGAAGCAAAAAAAAAAAAGCTTATACATTTAGTACATGTTTCAATATAACAATATAAACCCAAGCATATCACTGAAGCACAGTTAGTCAAAGTATGGAAATGTTGAAAATGTTAGAACTGTACTAATAATAATAAGCTTCTGACAAAATCTAATGAATGTGATGATTATAAGACAGATTTGTAGGTTCAAGCATAATACACATAAGAAAGGAATAAACGCAGTTCATTAGATTGTCGTCCATACAAAAAGTTGAAAGTAAAGCATACAATATTTTATTGTTGATGAATTATCATGGAAAGGTTGTTGAATTAGTATTGAATAGAATATAAAGCATGACATGAGTTGATGGCATTATTTATTAGCTCAAAGTTGTACTTTTTTTATGATACATACCTTTGAGCATGTTTCTTCATTGATTGGATTAGATGCAACAATTTGTTCCATAACTTCTTGAAGGACTTCTTTATACACAATATTTTGTGTATAATTCAGTGGCATATCAGTTTGCTCACCCAATAAGAATTTTCAGGATTGCCTTGAAGTTGCTCTCGAAACAGCAACATAGAGCTGGCCATGTGAGAAAACTGGTGTTTGTAGACATATGCCAATTTTACTAAGAGTTTGTCCAACATAGAGCTGGCCATGTGAGAAAACTGGTGTTTGTAGACATATGCCAATTTTACTAAGAGTTTGTCCTTGGCTTTTGTTTATTGTCATGGCAAATGCTAATTTAATTGGAAATTGTGTCATGCGCATAATAAATGGTAGCTCTCCTTTATCAGAGAACATTTTGATTCTAGGTATGGTAACTACTTTCCCAATATTAGAGTCGGTAATGATTTCTGCTTCTAAAACCTTCTGACCAAGCTTTGTTATGATAAGACGAGTTCCATTACAGAGGCCTACTCTCTAATTTATATTTCATAGCAATATAACTGGTACATTGACCTTTAATTTCAGACAATGATTTGGTAGTGCAGAAGTCTTGAGAGAATTCAAAAATTCAGTAGTATAGAAAAGTTCTTTCTTCTTTTGCTTTTCATCGACAGTTAGCTTGGCATCTGAACTCAAGTAAGTCTTTACCTTACCTGGGATTAGTTCAAGAATTTCATCATTATTGTATTAACTTGTTCATTTGTTGGGGCAAGTATTGCTTTATCTTGTAAGTAATTAGCATTAGCATAATTTAGGACCAATGACGGATAAGTTGCATCTATAAGACCCTTTGTTCCAAGCTTGGCATCTACTAACATATCATTTGGAATCTGTACCCATGTTGAGTCTGACTGATTTTCTAGGTGAATACCATCAATTGTCCCATCACCAATAGATAACACCCATTCTGCAAAATCTTTAGTTTCATGGAAATGGAACAAATGGGCATCAGATTTTGCATTCTCTAAGCGCATGTTCTTTGTCAAAAGAAGCAAATGACAATATTTCCAAAGCGAAGATCTATGTATTGAAGCATCAATGATATGCTCTCTCCCTCCTCTGGGAACAACTGGTAGAATTTGTCTTAAGTCGCCACCTAAGACAACAGTTTTATTCCCAAAGGCTTTGGTAGCATTTGGATTAGAATCAATTTGCATAATGTCTCTAAAACTTCTATCGACTGCATCAAATGCATATTTTGTTGTCATCGGAGCTTCATCCCAAATAATCAAGTCAGTGGAACGTATAAGCTGAGCCAAATGTGATTGCTTTTTTATTGTGCAAGTTGAAAGCTCAGTGATTTCGATGGGAATTTTAAATTTGGAGTGTGCAGTTCGCCCCCTGGTAGAAGCAAGGATGCAATACCGGAAGAAGCTACAGCCAATACAATTTTTTTCTTACTTCGCAGTTTTGTAACCGAAGTTCTCCATAAATAGGTTTTTCCAGTTCCTCCACCTCCATAGATAAAGAAAAGTTTACCAAGTTTTTCTGAGCATGAGTTCAAGATGGAAACATATGCCGTGTGTTGATCATCGTTAAGGTTTTTTCTAGCTTAGCTAACTCAATTGTCAAAAGAGCAGTATCATAGTCCAGCTCATCAAAGATCAATTGATTACTTATGCCTAGATCTGAATTATATGCTGGGAATGGCATTGTTGGGTATTTAACAGTGACTGGCCATTATGAACCAATGTTTGTTGTATCTCAATGAGCTTCATTTTTCAACTGGTCTTCAGTGAGAGTTACAACTTTCCCAGGATTTCTCTTTGTTAGCATGTATTCATAATCTTCTGACAATGATCTCCAATGTGATTCCCATAGTTTCTCTGGATGAGTTACATCACAAAACATGAGTATTATTGTGAAAAGTCACCGAAGCCCAGCTACACCACTGAAACAAGAAGCCTCTGCTAAACATAAATCACACTCTTTATCATCTTCAAGCAAGCCCATCGCAAGACAAGCATATTTAAATGTTGGGTGGAGAACATTATCAACTGTCCTTAAAAATTCATAGTTTGTTGCTCCCCTAACAATATTTAACAACATGCGCAAATAATATCTTTCACCACTAACAGGTTGAGCGAAGGGTAGTCTCCCAATAGCAAAGGACTTCTTTCGCGGGAGCCATACAAGTAGTTGCCTATTCCAAATAAACTTTTGTGGGAATTCAGTATACAATAGATCTTTTGCATTTTCAAAAGTCTGATTAGCAATGAACCATTCTATAAGCATTGTCTTAAGACATCTTTTTGATTGTACAACATTCTCAATGTATCTATTGTCATGGAAGTAGATTTCTTGTTCATATGACAAATGATAGCGAAGTCTCTCTATAGGTGGATAACGTCGATGGAGATTATAATCAAATAATCTCCATGCAGCCTCAGCAGCACTAATATATCGAGCATCAAGATATTGATGAATCTCATCTTTATCATGTGCATGTTTATTGTTCATAATTCCGGTTGCTAAGTCCGGCCCTTTATGCACATACTTAAATTAAGTACTTAATCATCAATGTTACATTAAACGCTGGGCGCTCCTGGGCGCCGGACTTAGCGCCCAGCGCTTAGACGCCTAGGCGGGCGCCTAAGCGGTTTCTGGGCGGTTTTTTTCTTCTGGGCGGTTTTTTTTTTAATTGTGATACTTGAAGATAAATTTATATACTCAATCAACAATGCATAAATACAAAAATACCAACACAACACATATGCTATCCAAAGTATAATAGTCAATCAAAGATGCATACATACTAAATGACAAGGCATATAATATCCAATAACTAGAAGTTTATGTCCCAAAATATCAGCAAAAAAATAGTCAAACAGGAATAGTCTAGATGTAATATAATGAATTAGCAATATGCATCTAATCTAATGTCATCATCAAACATCATCATCATCATGAAGTTCCTCCTCTACTCCATCATCGCTATCCTCTCCAGAATCCATCTCCACACAATCCTCCTCTTCGTCTGAAACATCATCATCCGAGACAAGAGGCTCTTCTTCATCATCTATCACTGAAGTAGAATCACTTGAAGGTCCTGCTAGCCTAGAACTCCTCCTATTCTCCGCAGCCTCAGCCGCTCCCGATATACCCTCTACCATCCTCCAAGTAAGACCTGAGCCAGGATGAACTTCTTCCTCATCATCGGAGCCTGCTCCTTCTAGGATCCATGCTCGTGCCTTACTACGATCAGTAGATAGTAGTAGGTTCTTGTTTTCTCCTCTCCTCTTCTTCTGGTTGAGCTTTGAGTTAAACTTCACATAGACTAGTTCCTCTAACCTCTTCGATTCCAATCTATTCCTCTTCTTCGTATGAATCTTCAAAAGTAAAGGACACAAATTAGAAAACACAACTAAGAAGAATTTCATATTTTTCATAAGTTTAGAAATTAGTTTACCCCCTCAAATGTGCTCCAATTCCTTTCACAACCAGAAGAGCTGCTTGTCAAGTTGAGAAGTTTCATAGCCATATTTTGCATGAAGGGACAATCACCACCATGCAAATACCACCAATTAGCTACAAAAAATAATATATTATTAGTTGATTCACTACCACAATGGCACAATAGATAACTTATAAGTCATATATGATTCAATTTCTAAAATTATTTTACCTGGGTTCAAGTCTGATTTCTCTCTAGCCTTCACCGCTCCAATCCTAGCAAATGAACCCTTTCCTTCTCTGTATCTCTCCAACTCTTGAGTATGAATTTCAACTTGTTGCTCTACATCAGGATAGAACAAGGTTAGTAGAAGCATATGCCGAAGGAGAAGAAGCGATCCTTGGATTCCCATTATAATATCATCACGGGCTTGAAATCCTTCTCTTATTCTTGAAACTTGAATTGATCCTCCTTCTTCATACTTCAAGCTCCCCCACAAATCTCATTGAGGTTTGTAGTAGCTATCGACTACCTCAATACGAGAAATAGGAGCCATAACCTTCAAGATCTTGCACCGCTGTCACACCAACTATCCACCTCCCTCACGCCAACAAAACCTACCACATTAGCTGCCTTTAGCGGTCTTTTGCAAGCTTGCATCATCTCACCCATGCTTCATCGGAAAACTATAAATCTCAACTTCCCTTTCTTCTCAGAAGACTTCCGCAGCAGAGTCAAAAATGTAGTGGCGAACGAGTAACGTCCCAGGTCTCACCATTTGTTCTCTTTTGTTTCACAAATGGCGACGCACTGATAGACAATGTCTTGTGATTGAACTATAGATAAAGATGATGGCGTCCTCGCGGATCTTTTGTAATCGATAAACAGTTACTTGAGAGAACAATGAAATCAATAAAGAACACGATTTTCCCCGCGAACAGCCTTCTCAATTGGTCCTTTGAATAAACTCAACTTCCTGATGCTTTCAAGCATCAGGTCAACAGTGTGTGCTGCACAACTAGTCCAAAAAATCCTCGGCCTCCTCCTATATAAAAGCTCCTTCGCGGCCATATTTGCAGCTGCATTATCCGTGACAACCTGAATGACTTTATCAGCTCCAATCTGCTCAATAGCCGTATTAACCCACTCAAATATATATTGTCCTGTATGTGCTTCCTCTTTGGTTTCAATTGACTTATGAAAAGTTGTCCCCAATCTGCAGTGGATGCAAAGATTCATTACCGACCGCATCTTTCTGTCCGACCAAGCATCAGTCATAATGGAACATCCAGTCTTGCCCCACTCCTCATGCGTTTTTAAGGAGACTTTTGTTCTCTCAACAGCTCTTCGCAATAAGGGCTCCCTCAACATGTACATGCTGGGAGGCCTGTAGCTCGGTCCATAGTCTCCAATAGCCATGCATGCCTTCGTAAAAGAATCCGTGGAGATGGCATGAAAGGGGATGGCATTTTCATATGCCCAAGTAGCCAACTGATCATGCACCCAATCTCTCTTCTCCTTCAGGAAAGAATCCTTCACTCCTGTCTGCTTCATTTTCCCTTTCAACCTTTTCGCTAACTCTGGATCATTAGCGGTGTAAGCATCCATCGGCCCAACAGTAGGCTCTCTAGACCTCTTTGAAGACCCATCGCCTATGGAAGGAGAGATGATTTCTTCTTCATCTTTTTCTTCATCACACGGCCTCGTCGTATGAAGTTCTTCTTCTAAGTCTATAGTGTGCCTCTCCTTAACTTGCTTCTTCTTCGAATTAGCATCAATGACTTCTTTCACCCTCTGCTTATCTTTTTCACTAATCTTCAAACATGGTTTAGTGTCCCCCCTCAACCCTGCAAGATGCTTCTTAAATTGATGGATCCCCGCATTCACCTTGTGCCCACATAGTTTGCATTGCACCATATTCAAATTTTTTGGGTCCAGACAAAATCCAAACTCCCAACCAATGTCTCCTGAGTTCCTTCTATCTTTCATGGGAGGTACGGGGATATTGGTGGAACCCGTAAACTCCTTCGTTGGATCACCCGACATTCTGAAATAAATGAACAAACAAATCATTCATATACATAAGATCAAATCATGATAAAGGGATAAACTAAAGTATTATTACATTGTATAATAAAAAAAGAGACTGATTTCAGTATCATTTAATTCTACAGTGAAATAATTCTACAGTGAAATACACTAGGACACAAATAAATAATTTCCTAAATAAAACAAGTAGCCAGTGTCACTTGCTTATATATCCAGCATAATTCCTTAATCCTCAATAAATAAATTCCTAAAAGGCTAAAACTGAGATAGAAACTGTCCATCACAAAAAAAATTTAACAGAATAGTAAAATGATAAATAACATTAAAGATCATCACCTGAAAAGACTGAAATAGTAAAATGATAAATAAAATAAGCAAATAACATATAATCCTTTACCTTGTTACAGGGATGAAGCAGACTCACAACCGCTTCGAGAATCCAGAGGCTTCGACGAGGAACAGATCGGAGGTTGAAGACGAGCTCGGAGGTTGAAGACGAAGCTCGGAGGTTGAAGACAAAGCTCCGACGAGTTCGAAGACGAGGTTGAAGCTCGGAGGTTGAAGACGAAGCTCCGAACTCCTGTCTGCGACGAGGTTGAAGACGAAGACGAGTTCGAGCTTGAAGATCGAAGACGAGGACCGAGGTTGAAGACGAAGGCGAGTTCGGATGAGGTTGAAACTCGGAGGTTGAAGACGAAGCTTCGAACTCCTGTCTGCGACGAGGTTGAAGACGAAGACGAGTTCGAGCTTGAAGATCGAAGACGAGGACCGAGGTTGAAGACGAAGACGAGTTCGATTCGAGCTTGAAGATCGAAGACGAGGACCGAGGTTGAAGACGAGTTCGAGCTTCGACGAGGTTGACGACGATTTTTGGAAATTTCTTGCGGCGTCGGGTGAGTGAGAAATAGGAATTAGGGTTTTGGGTTTGGGATTTTGGTTATTGGGTTTGGGTTTTTGGGTTTGGGTATTGGGTATGGGCGTTTTTCTTTTTTTTTAAGTGGGGCGGGCCGCTTAAGCGGCCCGCTTAGCTTTGGGCGGCCGCCTAGGCGCTCGCAGCGCCCAAAGGTGGCCGCTCAAGGCTGAATTCCACGTTAGAGGCACCGCCTCCGCCTAGGCGGCCGCCCAGGCCGTTTTTTAGAACACTGTTAATCATTTTCGCGTGTACAAACCTCAACATTAATGTGCGACTGAAACCTAAGTAGAAGAAATGGACTGTATGGGACAACCCATGAACTATCGACGTCAACATTCTTAACAATAGTTGTTGGGCATTTCTTCTCCTATAGATAGGGAAACCCTTTGCATCAATTTTCGTGAATTCATTATGCACCTTTGGATAACCTTTTGAGCATTGGCCATTTTTCATGCAAGGTGATCGTGGGTTATGAATTCCACATGGCCCATGTATCATATGAGCAATTACCAATTCATGCAATAAAGGGTCGATTCCTTTGTCAGGGATTTCAGCACAAATTGTTTCATCAATTTGCTTTGTTGTTCTGAGTTTATTTTTTTCTGGCATTTTTATCAATATATGTGCATGAGGAAGGCCACGATTTTGGAACTCAACAACGGATAGATCTGCAAGATTCATACTTATGATATTAGGCTTGAAAGAATGGAGCAAGGAAACTAAGGGATAGGAAGTGCTTAACAATTAAGCAAAGCTATAAACTCTTACATGCAATGGCCTTTCCAAATCTTGATTTCTTAGTTAGCTCCTTTAACATTTGTTGTAGCTTAGTTTGAAAAACACGTGCAATAATATTAGGTCGATCTGGGGCCTTTTATCCAGGTATTAGCTCCAAGTAATCATCTATTTCGATCCAATTTGGATTGCATGTAAAAGTGATCAATAAATTTGGGACTCCACTCCAAGAACAAATTGTCATTGCATCTTGATAGTTTTGCATCATGTATCTTGGACCACCAGTAAATGACGATGGCAACACAATTTTTTTCCCCACTTATGCTGTGTTGCTATCGCCGGCCTCTAATGCATCACACAGACCCTTATATAGTTCAGCACGAAGTGTCCTCTGGTTATTTCTAATCCAACATAGACACTCTTCTTCAACTGCGGCATAAGCATCAACTATGAACTGTTGAAGAAGCCTTCCACCTTGCAAAAGAGTTGTCGCTTCAGTTGTGCGTTGCTGAAGTCGATATGCATAATAATCTTTCATGCTCATTTTTTTTCTTTTTCTATTTTTTCCATTAAGATTATGGTTTTGTAAACCCATATGCCATCCATCCTCACCGTAAGGAAATAGTAACGGATATTGTAGCGGCATGTAAGATGGATGCAATTCAGTTATACGCTGAAATCCTTTCTTCTTATGTTTTATAATAATGTCACGCCCTTTGTTTTCTTCAAACTCATCGCCAAGCATGAGGACGGCAATATCATCTGCTTGGGGGCGATTATAGTTGCTTAACCCTCGATTTCGATTTTCAATTAATCTTAGTGCAAACTCAGCTGTTTGGTTCATTTCATGGAAGTCTCTTTCCTTCCTAAACTCCTGGACATATCCATTGACAGAATCGAGCTCAAGTTTAACATCAACTATGATCTCTTTGTCCATTATTTCCATCGCCTCACTTGGAAGGCTAGTTCGATTTAAAGATCGATATCTATTTTCAATCTCATTTGCTGTATCATATATACACAACTGAGCATACCTAGGTTTATTAGGTGGTTCAGGTATTAAGGATCTAATCGCATGATAGTTTTGGCCATGCATTCTAAATGTGTAAGGTCCTTTACCACGCATAACATTATAGTCAATCTTCGCTCCATGCGAAGTCATACAGAACATTGAATTAAATGAACGTATGTGTTCACGAAATCTTCTACTGTGTGCATCGAGGTTGCTTGGGTTCAAAAGTCTACGAAGCCTTTTTGGTGCCCTACGAAAATGGGGTAGAATAATCTTTCCATTTTTGCAACAGGTTGTATAGTATGACTCAAGTTTTTTCTTGCCATTTACTTTCTCCTCTTTCCAAACAATTGCATTGCACTTGCTACAAACTTTAGATGGGATGATCCAGAGCAAAGGGTGGCCTTTTAGCCTTTGCTGTGATGATATAGAATAAAGGAACAAAGAGAACAATGATGAGCATAAGCTAATATCTCTAAACAATTGCATAAAAGTGCAATGCAATATAGGATTTGAAATAGACTCTATAGTCACTTACCTGAACTTTTTTGTTTATCCATTCGATGTTGCAACCATATGTTCATTGGTGAATCATCATCATTAGATGATGAATCTGCATCATTATGATTTGCTAAAGAAAATACCTTTGGAAGGCGAGAGCCTAATCCCTTCTCTTGAACTATTTCTAGTAGAGATGAAATTGGGGCATGTGCTATGTCACTTGTGATATGAATGCCACTTTTTCCCACAATTTCTTTTGCCTCGTAATATTTTTTTATTGATTGGTCAATTGAATCTTTCATTGTAATATGTTCTTGATTTTCATGAACAATCCCTATTGCATCATATTCAATGGGATCACTATTTGCAGAGAGATATTCCGAGAGAATATGATCAACTAAATTTACGTCAGAATTTTGATCACTTGTTGTTTCTTGTATTTGTTTCCTAACGTTGTCTTGGTAGCGTTTACGTAATTGCTTTTGCCTCCGAATCTTCTTCTCTTCAGGCGTAACAAGTACATGAAGCTTCTGTAGTTTACATTGACGTACCATGACTAAAGGAAAACTACACAATGAGAAAGAGGGAAAAGTTGGAAGGGAGATGTATTATTTTCTACCAGTCAATTGAAGAAGCAAATTTGGGATTATGAGGGAGCTCAACTATGCTTGCTAAAAATATAACATTTGTGAGTCACCAATAGCATAATCAACACATATTCATTATAATAGTCTAGTACAAGTAACATGATATGATGCAAGTCAATAAATATACATACACATGAAATAAGAGATGCAAGGTGGTATAAAGCATGGAAAAAGAATAATGGCAAAACAAACATGTATCTAGTATATGACAAGCAAACTACACGCATGTGCAATAGTTAAGACATCACAAAACACATTAACCTTAAAAAGATGTATATATAATCACATAATTAAAGATGTATATATGATCACATAATTTATATAGGAAAATATAATAAGAAAGCTAATAAGAAAGAGCTAAAGTATAGCAAACTTACTCACGAGACTTCTAATAATAGCAAACCTGCACTTTGATAGCTCAGTGGTGGGCTGTATCCTATAAATCTCCTACAACAGAGAAGTTACACAATTAAGAAAAATTGATTTATAAGGAAGCCAAAATAAATATAGATAGTTAAGTACAAGTTGTTTCTACTTATTGTCAAAAGACACTGATTCGTGCTAAAAAAAGAGAAAATTTGAATGATGATTTTGCATAATTTACAAGGAAAAAAAATTCAAGCTATGGACGAAAAAAATAGGAACATGGCTTCTAGGAAAAGAAAAAGAAGTCAGGAGAACGCACTCAAAGAAAAGAATAACTGCATACATTTCACATCACTTCTAGAAAAGAAAGATTGACACCAAGTGAAGAATTATTGTAATGCATACAGTAAATATGGAAATCCAAAAATCCCCTAAACCGAAACATCCAACCAAGTGGATATTGAAGTGTTTGTTTTCCTCTCTTAGAAGTCACGTAAAAGCTATCAACCACTTTTTGTCAAACCTACTTAATTAATATTGATAGAAGCAAAAATTGACAAAAACTGGATGTTTGACAACTGAAGCCACTTAAAAGGTGGTTTATGAATTAAAAAAAAACTTTAAAGATAACTTCTATCTCTTCTACTTTAAAGGTGATTTTCATGAAAAAAACCCTCATTGATTTAATTATACAAACCATTTGCGTAATATTTTGGGGCTTGAGTTCAAAACCAATGATTTCCTTTTCTTTAAGTTTGATACATACAAAAGTAGAAGCATATGAGCCTTGGATATTCACAGCAATTCTGACAAAAGCTACAATTATGTATATACCAAATAGAAGATAACCATAACATTAAAATACCTAACAATGATAGGTATGGTTGGGAATTCATTTAAAATATGGTTCCTCATGGCCAGTAAAGATAGCGGCTTACACAGAAAGATGAGACTTTGAATTCATATTTTTGTGTTGAAAAATATGGTTCCTCATGGATTGAGGGTTCTCTCTATCGTTACTGGAGTTGGAGGAGTCGAGATTACACTTCATAGGCTTGGAATTCATTTAAAATGTGTCGTTTTTGTCGAAGCATCTGAAATTAATCGGAGGATCTTAAAGAGATGGTGGCAGAGCACGGGGAAGACGAGAGAATTGAGGCAAATAGGTGGCATTCAGAAGCTAATGTAAGCCGCTAGACCTACTAAGCCTAACTTATTGTTTGATGTAGTACACTGCCAAAAAAGCTAATTAAGTTGCTTCTGAATCCGTAGCTTTCATTATTTAAACATGTGTACTCTTTGTAGAGTATTCAATGTCGAACTAAACCTTATGAGGAACATAATAGTGGTTTCTTCCTTTTACATTGTACACAACAAAATGTTAACCTGGTCATGTAGATCTAATAGTTTGGGAATTCATCTCACAATTGTTTGAATATGATATAATTATACCATGCACTTTAGTTGAAGCCAACCTTTGATTGACAAAGGTAGCCATCATAAGTTATACGTATCATTAAGAGAAGCTTGCAAAAGATGCCCCATCGAAGCAAACAGACATCACTTATTTCTCAAGTTACTCGCATGATATTTAGGTTCGAGCTAAAACATTTTGACACACAAAATCGTTTTGCACATATGAAGCAAGATTGTTACAGGCTCTGAATAAAATGTATGATTTTACAGCTTGATAATTTGGATGGATAGGAGAAGGAAAAACATTTTAAACATTGGAGTTCTGAAATTCTTGCTGTGCTTTGCACTCTAAATTTTATATTCTCTTTATCTTACCCAAAACTATTTCTTGAAGGTTGAACATAATTTCGCACAACAAAATCTCACCTTCCACTTTCTTCTAGCCACATTTTGTACTGAAGATAATTTGAAAGGTTAGTTTCTTTCTTCTTGGGGCTTTAATTATGTAAATGAGCTAGACTTTGAGGGCTTGTGACAAGTTGCAATGAGCTTAGGTTCATCCATAATTTTGTTGTGAGGAATTTGAATAACTTAGAGGGGCTTTGTGTGATACACATTCGAAAAATTGTCAAACATTTCATGCATCATGATGCTGATCATGAGCAAATATCGAATAATTTTCATATGTCCTGAATTCATTCCATGTTTCTTAAATGATTTTGATTTATTTCTAAAATTAAATTTTCATACATATAAAATAGATAAAACTTATTTTATCTAACTTGCTAAACAAATAACAATCAACAAACATGTGATAACTTTCACAACACTCCTTAAATAAATCAATCATCCAACATAATATACTAACAATCAACAAACATGTGATAACTTTCACAACACTCCTTAAATAAATCAATCATCCAACATAATATACTCAATTATATCATTACTGCCTCTCTCTCCACAACACTCCTTAAATAAATCAATCATCCAACATAATATACTCAATTATATCATTACTGCCTCTCTCTCTCTATCAAAATGTAAAAAGTGTGGACGCATGATAAATTTAAGTCATGAAAATAGCCAAAGTATATAACAATATTTGTAGTACATGCGGTAGTGCCAAGGGTAATTAATAACAACATCATAGGTGATACATCATATGTTTTTTTATCTTATTTATGATTTTTCATCCTTATTTTAAGCGAAACATTGTCAATGTATAAATAAAAAGAATAATAACCAAACTGGACAACATGATTTCACAGATACTTCATTGATTTACTAACCGATTAATACATAGCTTAAAGATATCTTACACCGTGTTCCTCAAAAGATATATTTCTACTTTGTACATCGAAAAAGCCAAAATAAACACATAGCTATGTTATCCTACATGGCCATAGTCACTTAGTTTGGCTACTCATGTACACCCAAAAATCCAAAATAAACACATGGCTATATTATCCTACATGGGCTTGATCATTTAGATGAGGTACGTGATTCACTAGTGTCTTGACTGCTTTATCTCTATTGGCTCAGATTCTTCTGTATTGTCCTCCTCAAGTTTCATGTTCTTCATCTTTTGAGCATCATCTGAAGTCATATTGGCACACAATCCACCTCCAGAAATCCTAACACTTCCTAGATTGGGATCAAAGTCATCTGTGCACCAATCATCCAAGTCATCATATTCATCTAAATTATAAGCAAAGCAATTTTTATTCTTTTCGTCCACTAAAGATACATTCATTTCTATGTCTGAGCAATGTTTTAAATGAGTTCAAAAATATGTCTTTTCAAGGGATATAAATAGGTTAGAAGTTCAGAAATTTGGACCACGAAAATATACATATAAGATTGAATTTGTATGAAACTTAAGTGATAGAAAATCTGATTTTTACTTGAGTATTGAGAAAAATAAAATTCTGCAACAACAATTGTTCATCTTCATTTGTACATGATTTTGAAAAGAATTTAGAGAACAAAAGAGTCTATAAGCCACTGTTACACATCACAAACTTATCAAGGCTTATAGGAGATTTGTACATTGATTCAGGGAAAGGATTCTCTCAAGTATGAGAGGTGTAATCTCTTGGTGAAGAGATTGGTTGTAATTTACATGGTCTTACAAATTGGTCTGGTTTGAGTTTTGATTTTGTAAGTTTATTCAAAATCATAGTGAAAACTCTCAAGCGAGATTTGCTTGGGAACTGGATGTACACATGGAAGGTGAAACCAGTATAAATCCTTGTGTTTGTATTGTTGATTTTTTGTGTTTGTCATTTCTTCTTTGTAATTTATTATCTACTTTGCATAAAATTTTATAAAACACTATTCACTCCCCTCTAGTGTTTTTAGTGTGATTAGATTAGATCCTACATTTTGTATCAGAGCAAGGTTGAAGAAATGGCATCATCATCGGATTTAACTTCAAAATTTAAAGGTCATTCTACAAATCGTCCTCCAATGTTTGATGGATTAAACTACAATTATTAGAAGTGTCGGATGAGAATTTATCTCCAATCAATTAGCTACGAACTTTGGAACGTTGTGGAAACTAAATATGAGAAGTCAATCACTCCCTTCACGGAATGGACATCATCTCAAAGAAATAATGCAAATTTGGACTCCAAAGCTACGAATGCACTATTTTACGCTCTTGACAAGAATGAGTTCAATAGGGTGTCAACGGCCACATCCGCTTATGATATTTGACACACACTCGAGGTAACTCATAAAGGTACAAGTTAAAGAATCTAAAATTTCTGTTCTTGTACACATATTCGAATTATTTAGAATGAAGGAGAACGAGACCATTGAAGAAATGTTTACAAGATTCACTGACATCACAAATTCTCTTATTGGTCTTGGAAAAGAATTCACACAAGTGGAAATGGTGCGAAAGATTCTTCGTTCTCTTACTCCACAATAGGTAAAGAAAGTGACTGCAATAGAAGAAGCAAATGACTTGTCAACACTTTCAGTAAAAAAACCTCATTAGAAATCTCATGACCTACGAAGTCCAAATTAAAAATAAAAAGAATGAAGATGAAACTAAGAACAAGAAAGTACTTGCATTCAATACTACTTCGGATAAAGAAGATTCGGATGATGAAGAAATGAACATGTTTGCATGCAAATTTAGAAAATTCATAAAACGAGGCAAGTTTAAATCAAAGAATTTAAATTCAAATAACTTACTTTGTTTCAAGTGTAACAAATCAGGGCATATGAAGAAAGATTGTCCATTGTTAAAAAATAAGCAAAAGTCAAATTTCTCCAACAACTTCAACAACATTCAAAGCAACAAGAAAAGAAAAGCTTTGGCGGCTACATGGGATGACAGTGATGATTCATCTTCCGATGAAGAAATTAAAGAAAAAGAAAGTGCTCATATGTGTTTTATGGCACAAGATGAAGTAAGTGATAATGAAGAACTTTTAGATGCTTTCAGTGAATCATATGAAACTTTTTTAAGATTAAAGGCTTTACATAATTTTCTTAAAGGTAAAAATAAAAGATTACATGAAGAAGTTTCTGATTTTAATTCTTCTATTTCTTTTAATTCTCAAATAATTGAATTAAAAGAGGAAAATGAATAATTACTTAAAGAAAATCATGTTTTGTCAAATGAGAATGTTTATCTAAAATCAGAATGC